GGTTTCCCCCCGGACATGAGGCTGGCGCTGCTTTTGTTTTGCGCGTAAGAGAGGAATAAACCTGCCGAAAACCTCCCCAGCAGTGACTTAAAAGAGCCCGTGGTGGCACGTTGACATCTGCATGTGCTCCCGTGCCCGCTTCCCATGTGTCCCCTTGAAACACAAGGAAGCAGGGAGGTTGGAGGGAATTACTCTGGGGTGCTTGGAGCTGCCAGCAGGCGTTTCAGCCTGTGTCCGTGTCAGTCGGTGCAAAAATGCCCTCCTGGTTGCTCACGTTGCAGCACAGCGTTGCTGGCAGAGGAACTGCGTGTTGGACGATGACTCTTCCCTGTGTGATCCCCCAGGGGAAGTAACTGATGCTGCAGAGTGTCACGCCGGGCTGGGAGGGAAATCCCGGGCCACTGAGCTCTGTTTCCTGTTGTTGCAACTGCTCTGTCCAAAAACAGAGGGAAAAAAGTCTGGGGAAGCGGGTGTCAGTTGTACAGGCAGCACTGAGGGTGGGATGAGAGGGCTGGAAACACGTCTGTGTGCTTCGGTCTTTGGGATTATTACTGTATTTTAAACATGCCAAAAGAAAAAAAGCCCCCCCAAAAAACAACAACAAAAAAACCAAAAGCCTGCAACTGAAACTGTGTAAAACAAAAGATTTGTGTCCCTGTGGGACAGTCGAGGAAGAAATAAGCCATGTTTTTAACCCTGTGCTACGAATCTTAATTTTTCCATGGTTGATATAGTCTGCTTATCGATGGACCCTTTCGCAACAGGATTTACCAGGAGGGCTCCGAGGGCAGCGCGGCCGTGGTGGCCGTGGAGACGCACACCATCCACAAGCTGGAGGAGGGCATCGGTGAGTCGCTCGGCGGCGCGGGGGCCGCTCTGCGCAGGGCCAGGCGCAGCCGGGCCGGGGTCTCTGCTTCGCCGGGCTCCCTTGTGGCTCTGCCCCTGCAGATGCTGTTTCCCGGGCTGTTGTCCTGGATGTGGGTGCAGGGGCTGGGCAAACTCTGGACTAAGAGTCTGCTGGTCCTGCTTGGTCTCAAAGTGCTGGAACTGAGATGCTGGCTCTCGTGGAATGACTGGTAAGGGCTCCCACGGGGGCCAGGGGAGCCGGGGCTGCACCTCAGTCTTGATTTTGCAGACCCAGACAGGCAGGGAGGATGGCTGTGAGGATGACGGTTGTGTCTGCACAGGCAGAAGCATCAGACTGACGGCTGGTTTGTCCTCTGCTCAGCCAACACCGTTACAGATTTGTGTTGATCCTTCCAAGGAACCAAGCGGGTTGGCCTGGATGCCCCTGCCAGCCAGAGGAATAGCTGGGAGGAGGCTCCCGTTAGGTGCTGTCACTAGCTCTGAACTAGATCTTCATGTTATTCTCTGTGGGCACATTGGATTCCTGATGCCAAGTTTTCCTAATGGATGAGCTTTGTGTTGGGCTATTAAAGAGCAGATGCCACTTGCTGTTGGTTCTAGTAATTGCAGAAGGCTGAGGATTGATCCTGAATTAGGAACAGCCCTTATTTTGGCTTCCTGAGTCTAGGCCTCGCAACTTGAGAGCTTTAGGCTCCTGCCTTGTGGGACTTGAGCCTCCTGGGCGGAATGTTTCATTTTTACCCGTTTTTCCCTCAGACCCCAGCACCATTGAAACGAACGAGGAGATCGAGATCGCCTATCCCATCACGTGTGGGGAGAGCAAAGCCATCCTGCTTTGGAAGAAGTTTGTCTGTCCAGGAATTAATGTCAAGTGTGTAAAGGTAATGAAGTTTTGGCAGTGGATTCCTTCTCCCCTCTCTAGTGCTCAGACTTCACCTTCATGGGACCTTCTTACTGTTTCATCTGAGCCCTGTCTTGGAGGTGGATGATTTTGCATTTGCAGTATGCTGGCCTGTTAACACTAAAGTTGGTTTTAGCATGCGAGAAGCAAGAGAAAAGTGCAGGATAAGGAGTGAAGCATCTCACCCACCTTATTTTTCTGTGCTGTTCTTGATTACCCTTTAAAGCAAAGTCATATTTGGGACTCAACGAGAGGCTTAGAGCTGAAAGCAGGTAGGGAACACGGGATCTACCAGAGCCCTTCTGCCTTGTCTTACTTCTTTTGTGTTCTGCTACTGTCCTCCTGAGGCTGTCACTTCTTCAGGGGACAGGATGCATCAGGAAGAGAAATATCACCCTTATATTTCCCCACTTGACAATGGGCTAATGTAACAGCTCATGTGCAGAGGCTGAGTGCCCACGTGCCGCTGTGGAGCGATCACTTGGTCTCTGACCCCGAACAGGAACCATCTCAGTCACTGGAGCAGGATAGAACAGATGCCCAAGTGAATAACTGTGTCAGCTGCATGTTGCTTGGCCATTCGATGGAATAGGAGTCTCCTGTAATGATCCCAGGGATGACTGTACATGTTCACAGAAGGAGCTGATATGTTTGTGCTCCATACCAAAGCCTTCAGGGCTGCTCCTAGCTGCATCATGTGCTTTGAATGTCAATGAGCAGCAGGTTGTCCCTGCAAACATATCTGTTCTGTTCCGTTATTTATTAGCAGCGCTGTGCTGAAGGGGTTAAAGTTGGTTCCTGACAGGGACTTGGGAAGAAGCTCGTCTTTCTGTGTAGAGATGGAGGGGTAGATGAGCTGAACAGGGCTGGGTGTCCAACAGAGTCTCCACAAGTGATGTTCCCCAGTGCTTACTGAGCTCTTGTTCATCTCATTGCTAGTTCAACGACCAACTGATCAGCCCAAAGCATTTTGTTCACCTGGCTGGCAAGTCTACCCTAAAGGACTGGAAAAGAGCCATTCGTCTTGGAGGAATCATGCTGAGGTACTTGATTTGTTCACCGTTGCACCCAGCTTCAGAGCTTCATCACTGCAGCAGCGAGGTCCCGAGCAGGCATTTGGATTGCTTTGCAATCCCCAGGAGATCTCTTGGACGTTCACAATGCCTGGGCAGCAGCCTGCAGCACCTCTGGAGCTGAGATCCTGGCCCCACAGTCCAAGGGACAGGACTTCTCATCCTGTACAGAAATGGCCTTGCATGGGTGTCATGGTGCTCTGTGGGGATGGAGCAGGGCTGGCGTGGAGCTGGAGGATGGCATTTTCGAGAGGTGTTTTGTGTGCAGAGCAGAGCTGGGTTTGCTTTTCTCTCTGCTTCCCGTGGCTGTAGTATTCCCATATGGAATACTCCGTTTTGTCTCCAGGCTGAGATTTGAGCTGAGCCTGGTTCTCTCCCCACTCCCTGCACAGGAAGATGATGGACTCGGGGCAAATCGACTTCTACCAGCACGACAAAGTTTGTACCAACACCTGCCGAAGCACCAAGTTCGATCTCCTCATCAGCAGTGCCAGAGCACCGGTGCCAGGGCAGCAGAGCGTGGTGCAGACTCCCACATCAGCGGACGGTAGGGAGCAACGTGACAAGTCCCTGGTGACATTCCCTCCCTCCCTGGACTTAGCAAACTGCCACATGTGCACTTTACACCCTCCTCAGTGCAGCAGGACAGTCCCTCCATTTGGGGCACTTACTGCTCTGGTTTCTGGGCAGGTCACTTTTCTGTAAGACTTGGCATGGATGAGATGGCAGAGTTGGCTGTAGGCTGAGGTGAATCTCCTGAAAAGCACCCTGGCCACATGACCAAACCTCCCTGTAGCTAGACATTGGCTTAGGAGTCTTAAATTTGATCCAGAAATTTTGGATTGAGTCAGATTTGTCTTCCTGTTATAAGCTAAGTTGGTTCCTGACCCTGTCATTTTGGACAGACCAGGATATCTCTGGTTTAAGAACTTTCTGTGATGAGACCGGGGTGGAGAGTTTATTTCTTCCCTTTTTTTTTATTCTGATGCCATGCTAGAAATCCAGTTTGCTTTTTGGAGGGCACGTGGTTTTCCCTCTAGCAGCCCCAGAGCCTTTCCCAATTACTCTTCCGATGAGAAGCAGCTATAATTGCTTTTAGCTAATTTGGTTTAAAGAGGCCAGGCACAAACAACCTCACTGCAAGATGGAAAGAGAGCCTGGGAGGGATAAGGAAGGTGGAGAGCAAAGCGGGGATCCAGGGCTGGCATTTTAGGTGCTGCGGAGGGAGCTGACGTTGCCTTCCCTGCAGGGAGCATCACCCAGATTGCGCTGTCGGAGGAGAGCATGGAGGAGGGGATCGAGTGGAACTCGGCTCTGACAGCTGCCGTCACCATGGCCACTGAGGAAGGCATGAAAAAGGACACGGATGAGATCTCGGGTAAGCTCAGGCAGCTGGCGGGGGCTTTTCTCCCGCTCTCCTTGCCTGTTTTGTTGTGGAGACTGGGAATTAGGGGAATTTAGGCAGCGACAGAGCTGAGCCCAGCTCCTTGGCTGTCCCAGCGCTTCCCAGGTGTGCAAGGTCCCTGCCAAACAGAGCTCCCCAGCGCTGCAGGGAAAGGGGGACTTCAGCCCTGGCCTTGCGGCTGATGGATGATCCCTTTTGTCACTTGTCACTAGGTACAGTGAGGGCTCCTGTTGTTCCTTTTAAGGCTGTAACCGCCTGCCAGCCTTGAGCAGCAGCATCTTAGTGCCCCCATGTTAGTTCCCCTGTCATCCCTCTTGGCTGCATTTCTCCTGCTGCAGGGCCTTGCTCTCCTAGGGATCTGCTTAGGTGGTTTCCTCAAATTAAGACTCTAAGCCCTGCAACCTGTGGAGATAAATGGGAGCACTGAAGTGTTGCCTTGGAAGTCACGTGTTGTTTGCAAACCTGCTAGTGATTTGCTTCGTTTGTTCCCGTTTGTTTCTTTTGTTGTTTTTTGCTTGTCATGTCTGCCCCGATGGCCAAATTAGAAGTTGCTTTGCAGAGTTACTCTTGCCTGACAGTTTGCTGCTGTTTAAGGTAACCTTGAGGGAAAAGGCCGAATGCTTGTATGTGTTGACTGCTTCCCCTTCTTGTCAATTCCTTTCCCTGTGCCAGAGGACACACTGATGTTCTGGAAGGGAATAGCTGATGTGGGGCTGATGGAAGAGGTCGTCTGCAACATCCAGAAGGAGATAGAAGAGGTGCTAAGAGGCGTTCAGCAAAGGCTGGGTCAGTCTCCTTTCCAAATGACAGGTAGGTCAGGAGCCAGAGCTTTGGTGGTGGGTGAGGGATGCTCAAAAGGCAGCTGCAGGCGAAAAAAAAAAAAAAAAAAAAGAAACAAGAGTGACAAGGGTCCAGCTACACAATTTAAAGGTATTGAGTCAAGATGGTAAATGAGTTACAAGTTACTGCTGATTTGAGTCTGGGTGGGATATTGGCCTGCCTGACCATGAAGTGCATTTACTTAAACCCCTGTGAGACAGAAGGACACATGCTACCTGGGAGCAAAGTGATAGCAGGGCCATGTGGGACAACTGTCCTCGACTCCCAGTGCTTGTTAAAGCCTGCCCAAATTTGATTTTTGAACTGCAGGTATTCAAACACTTCTCCCCAGGGCAGTGGGTCCTGCCCCTTGCTTCTCATTCTGCCCTCGCTTGTGCCAGGAAACCTGTTTTTGGGGGGCTGAACCAGAAGGGGAACTGGTTAAAAATAACTCCCCTCCCCTTTTGGGGGGTTATTTTTAACTTGGATCAGTTCCCTTATCCAGTTTAGCTCAGGTTGGTGCTCCTGCTGCAACAATACCCGTGTAGCCCTAGATTTCATTTCACCCAGGTTATTTTTCTTTTAATCCAGTTTTGGGCGGGTGGATCTTTGAGTCTGGTAGGTGGCAGCTTTTGGAAGCTGTGAGTGACTGAAGTCAGTGGATTATAATAGAAGTTTTGCACAGCTTTCAGTGGAGCTGGCATGTTAATGACACTGTCAGCAGTATGGGCTGATGATTTGTAGGTGGCGAGCTAGTTGGTATCTCTGTGATTGCAAATTATGCTTTCATTTGCAGCAGTTCCGAGCTGCTTGGGTGACACATCTCTGTTTCAATTTCTTTGTCACATGAATGGGATTATTTAGTCCCTGGGTGTCAGAAGGATGAGGGAGCTGGGCCTGCCCTTGTCAGCTAGCCCTTGCGGAACAACAGAGCTGGTTTTATGGAAGCAACAGAAGATGTTTCACATAATAATATCTGCTGAGTCTCTCATTTGGCCACCTGTGGGGCTAAATCCTCATCCACATGGACTTTCCTTGCAGATGCTGCAGTCTTGAATAACGTTGCGCACACATTTGGCCTAATGGACACAGTCAAGAAGGTGCTGGACAACAGGAAAAACCAGACGGAGCAAGGAGAAGAGCAGTTTCTTTACACTCTGGCAGGTACTACCAATGCCTAGTAAAGCTTCTAATCCTGTTGCTGCTCTTGGGAATTGATGACCCCATTTTACTCCTCCTCCAACAGGGGTAAAATTGCTCCTTTTTCTCTTCACTATCCGCAGAACCCTGGTGTAGCAGCGAGCAGTTGCTTGGCGCGTTAGCCCGCGGTGGCGGCTGTGCCCTTTGCTCGAGCTGCAGTGCTGGCTGTGCTGGTCCGATTCAGCCAGCGTTAGGAAATAGGTGCTGTTAATAAAGAACTGAGAGGTGCTCATCTGAGCTGTGCCCAAGCTAATGAGCTTCTCTGTGGGGTTGTTACCTCTTGTCTGGGCGTGAAGCTATCTGATATCTGAGGTGACTTTCCCTGAGCTGAAGCCAAGAAGGATGCTTCAGAGCTGCGTCCAGCAGGACCTGTTCTTATCTGGGATGTCCTAGTCCCCTACTGCCCTGCGTAACTGAGACGTTACTGGGCTCCTTTTGACTTCCACACAGACAAGGGTGGAGGGAGGAGATGTTTGGGTAGACCCAGCCAGCCCTGCTCCCTGTCCCAGGTGTGGATGCTGGGCTCCTAGGAAAGGGTTCCAGCTAAGCTCATGCAACCCAGAGAGGCTTGTCCCTTCTCCTTCATAAGTGGGTCCAGCCTGGGGAGCAGAAGTGCCCATCTTGGCAGTGAGGAGGGTAATGGGGGTCGCCAACAGCGCTCAGACGGAGGGGAAAGAGCACGGCTGGGACTTTCTGCCTGTTCCTTGCGCAGGCTCTGCGCTGGCCGGAGCAGCCTGAGCAGGAGCAGAGCATCCAGCAGGGCTGGGTGAGCGGCCGTCACGGAGCCTGTGCCTGTTGCCCGTGAGCGGGTGGAGGGAGGGGGCAGCGCGGAGACGCCCCCGTCCCGCACCGGGGGAAGCGGCGGCCGGTCGGGGGGGCCCCCCGGGGCCCC